TGAGCCAGAACTATGCTTAGCACTGAAGCTAAAAATTAAAGACAATTTGGCCTTCTGCCACTTTAATTTTATACAAGAAAGAGGCAATATACTTCAGTGTTTCACCAACCCCAATGCATGTTACAAGGCTCCTGCAGTTGCTTTTGGAAAAGGTTTTCATGTTTTAAAAAATCTACTTTACGCTGGTGAATCTTTCTGTTTCTCCTCTTAGCAACAGAGAAGTAGTAGTTGAGGTAAGACTGTCTTTTAGGGTTTTTTTCTTCACTGTCATAGAAAGCTTTTCAAATAAAATATCAATCAGTTTGGAAGAAAGTTCTGTTTGCTAAATGTGGAGGATACAACTTCTCTGTGGAATGCTTTATCTCTATGGGATATAAGGTAGCTGGAGTAGTAGCCCTCAGATAATGTATTGCAGAGGTGGAGAAGCAGCAGGATCTAGGTGCAACCTCAACAAATATTCTAATTGATACAGTGTTGCTGCTTTTTAAACCAGAAAATTATTTTAATTTACTTCCAATACAAAAGCACTATAGAGCTTTCACTCTTGCCCAGCTAAATGCTCTGCCATCAGCAGTCCAGGAAGGAAAGTTTGAAAAAATCTGCACTGCCTACAGAAATGTCCCTAATTCTATTAAAGATAGCAAGGTAAAGTTAATTGTGTCATAACTTTGGAAGTTTTGAAGGCAAGAATAAAATTACCTTTCAGCTTTTTTCACAAACAGAATATTGGTGCTTCTGCTTGTGAAAACAGAGTATCTCTAGAGCTGATGGCTAAATTGGGATATGATTGGTTTTGAATGCTGGATTCTGAGGTTTATTAATGTTAGATTGCTAAATGTTTCACAGACGAATAATTGAATATGGAATATAATGCTTCAGATGAAATATGGTTTTTCAGGATGTAATGCTATTTTGTTATAGAGCTCAAGCCAATGATGTGTTCTTTTAAGTATTACTAGCTTTGTCTCCCTCAAATCTCTATTCTTAAATCTGAATTGAGAATCATGTACAGTGGGGTCTCGACTTACGAACTTAATCTGTATTGGAAGGCAGTTCTCAGGTCGAAAAGTTCTTAAGTCGAATCTGCATTTCCTATAGGAATGCATTGAAAACCATTTAATCCGTATCTGCTCTTTTCGTCCATAGAAACTAATGGGAAGCTGCTATTCCGCCTTCTGCCACTAGAGGGGGATATTTTTTCTTTTTTCCTTTTAACCTAAGATGACTTAGCTTTTAAAAAAAAGGGAAAAAAAGAGTACGTAACTCGAATCTAAGTTCGTAAGTCGAGTCCATATATTCCTATGAGAGCGGTTCGTAAGTCGAAACATTCGTATGTTGAGCCGTTCGTAAGTCGAGACCCCACTGTATAAGAATATATGATGGTGTTAGTAGTTTCCAGAAATGGGGTGGAGTCTATAAAACAAGCAGAGTTTCTGATATGCCTCAGATTTTCAGAAATATAATTTTTGATGTATTTATTTGTTAAGCTCCTTCTTCCAACAGATGTCATCCCAGACATCTATCTAGACATGGTCTAATGACATAAACACATATACTAAAACATAAAGAACAAATCAAAACATAATTAAAGGTGCAGAAAAATCCCCCTCTCTTCCAGCAAGCCGTCTAACTTAAATGCCCAAGGTCCTTCTGGATAGAAAGGTATTTGCTGGTAAAAGGACAAAAGGGAGGAGGCAATCTACCTGAAAAGCCCGGGAGCACCTAGAAAGAAAGCCCCTTGAGATTTGTCGGGGGGGGGGCCCTTTTTATTTTAACTTCTAGTGAGTCCACACTTACCGTATTTCCTTTTTTATAAGACGCACCTGACCTTAAGACGCACATAATTTTTAGAGGAGGAAAACAGGGAAAATATATTCTGAACCAAACAGTGTAATAAAATATTTAATAAACTATAACAGAATAACATTTGAACCATGTAAAGTGAACAGCAGTCAACAGTGGCATTAAGGACCATTACCCACTGTCATTAACAAATGGAGAGACTTAAAGGTTTGTGTTCTAACTCCTGTCCTCTGAAGATGTCGGCCACAGAGACTGGCAAAATGTTTGGAAGAAAAACCTCCAGAAATGGCCAAATAGCCCAAAAAACCTACAACAACCATTGATGTGGATCTTATTTGAATCTATTGATAAGAGTTATGTTGGTAATTTGTCATTTTTTAAGTTACCAATATATTTTAGCAAAATTAATTTAGGTCTTTTAAATATTTGTTTATTTTCATCTAAACCCTCCACTGTGTTGTAACAATATTTCAGCTTTATATATTACACTTCCTTTAAAATTTGCTTTTATTTATTTATTTATTTATTTAATTTATATCCAGCCTATCTGGTCGGTTAAGACCACTCTAGGCGGCTCATAGCTGATTCATCCCACCTCCTCAGCCTATTATCTGCACTGTCCACCCTGTGTCCTTTGTCTCTTCCATTCATGCCATGGCGCTCTTAGCAACCAAAAATAAATACCCAGTCCATCCCTATAATAAAACAGAGCATCTCTGTTATGCTCTCTCCCAGGTGAATCGTAAATGTTTTGAGGAGGGTTAATTAAAAAAATCTTGAATTTTAGTCCTGATGGCCATGTGCAGCTTGCAGATTTAGAGGCAGTATACCACTGAATGCCAGTTGCTGCAGAGCATGAGCATGTTTTTGCACCCACATCCTCCTACTTGTGGGCATTGCAGAGGCGTACAAAATGAAATGAAAATAGATAATGTTGCTAGTTATGTGTTAAGAAACACAATTCCTGGGTTATTATGTGCATGTAAACTATTTTGTTTTTCTGTGCAAATACAAACAACCGTTTTTCTGGCCCAATTTTACTTTGCCTTTTTAAGTTACTTTATAATAAACATTTTCTATCTTGCTTTTCATTTTAAAATTAGCAGGTTAGAATAGCTAATAATCAAAAACAACTTTTATTTACTAATTTTAATTATTAGCTACTTATTAGCTGGGCGACATCTGGGGCCTCAGCCAGATGTCACTACTTGTGAGCAGTTTGCAGCCCACTTCCATACTAATATTGAGGCCATCCATAGGGACCTTGACTCCGTTAGTACAATAAGTCATGTTGAGATGCCCAACACACCGTCTTGTTTTATTGAATCAGTTTCAGCCTGTGTTGCCTGATGACATGGACAAAGCAATTGCATGCTCTAAGGCCGCCACCTCCCAGTTAGATCCATGCCCCTCCTGGCTCTTAAAATCAGCTAGTATGGTGAAGGTTGAATGGACCATTCAGATCGTGAACTCCTCCTTACAGGAGGGATATTTGCCCTCTGTCTTGAAGGAGACAGTGATCTGGCCCATTCTGAAAAAAGTTAATTTGTCAACCAATGATTTAAACAACTGTTGTCTAGTTGCCAACATACCATTCATGGGGAATCTGATTGAGAAGTTAGTGGCTAACTAGCTGCAGGCATTCTTGGAGGATACCGATAGTCCAGATCCATTCCAATTGAGGTTCTTGCCACATCATGGGACTGAGACACTTCTGGTTGCCCTGCTAGATGACCTATTATGGGAAGCTGATCAGGGGAGTGTGACTCTGTTGGCCCTCCAGGACATCTAAGCCACCTTTGATACTGTTGAATACAGTATCCTCCTGGATCGGTTATCAAGATTGGGGATTGGAGGTTTAGCATTATGCTGGCTCCGTTCCTTCCTTGATGGCTGATGCCAGAGAGTTCAGCTTGAGGGAGCTGTTTTGTCCCTGTGGACACTACAATGTGGTGTTCAACAGGGATCAATCATCTCCCCCTTGCTGTTTAACATCTACTTGAGGCCACTGGGAGAGGTCACTTGGAGATTTGGAGTTTGCTGTCATGAGTATGCTGATGATACGCAACTCTATCTCTCCCTTTCCTCTTCAGCAGGAAAAGCTATACAAACTCTAGAACATTGCCTGACTTCAGTTATGGACTGGATGAGGGCAAATAGGCTGAAATTGAATCCTGACAAGGTGGAGATCCTGTTGTTGGGAGGGCATACTGATCAGTTAGGGGGCCCGTTACCTGATCTTGATGGGGTCACACTCCCTTTGCAGGATCAGGTCCGAAATCTGGATGTGCTTCTAGACCCAGACCTCTCGATGGAGAAACAGATCTTGGCTGTGGCCAAATCTGCCATTTTCCATCTGAGACAGATTGCACCCCTCTGTTCCCTCCTCAGCAGGAAATCCCTAATAACAATGGTTCATGTATTGGTAATCTCTAGGATAAATAAAATATAATAAATAACCTGTTCATGTGAAATTGAAAACAAATCATAAGTGACATAGAATGTACAACAGTTTTTAAAAGCTGAGAGTCACAGACAAAGTATTTGTCTCTAACAAACTGAGGATTAAAAGCCAATCTCATTCTCAAACAAAGTTGTTGTAAGGTTAAAATGGGTAGAAGAGAACCATGTATGATACTTTGATTTCACTGGAGATCAAGAGAATAAATGAAAATGAATAAATTAAGCATCTGAATACACCTGCTCAAATAAAAATATCTTCAAATAATATCGAAACACCACTAAAATAGGAGCCAACTTTTGATAATGGCATATTGTCTTTTAAAAAGTATTTAGTCAGATCACTGACTCAGTGAAGTGTTCTTCACTAACTGAAGCTTCCCAACAATTTTCAAAGGCAGCCTGACATAACATGTATGGACAGCAATTCAGTCTAGATGAAACTAGGGCATGTGTAACAAAGGCCATGTCTACTGTCTACATAAATGAGCACATTTGGTGTATCATCCTAAACTATGAATGTGCTCCTAACCATCAGTGGTATGTAACCATCCAGATGACAAGGTCTGCCAGAACTGCGAACCTAATTTTTTAAGGGGAAAAAATCCATCTGAAACAAACTGAATCCAGTTAAAGTCTTTATACTGTGTCTTGTTTGGATTAAGCTTCATTTTTTTTAGAGTTGTTTTAGAATGTGAGCAGTCTGTAATTTTTTACATTTACCTGTCATCTTACAGGCTATGCAACTAAGAGATGCTTTGTTTAACACAGACGAGGGTATTCCGGTCTCCATGTGGCATAGTTGCGAGTTTAGCAGGATGTCTGGGACGCAGAAACAACTCATGTTAGAGCTGGATGCTTCATTCCATCCTGTCTTATCATTTCCTTCAGGTAAATTGTTCTTTGCTACAATACATACAGCAGAACAGCCCTTTGCTTGGCTACATGTTAAAGCAAAGATAACAGTTGCAGTCAGTGAAGGAATATTTTTAAAAATATTTTTATTAAAAAACAACAATAAAAATTGCCAAAGAGCTGAAGAACGACATCCTTTGAAGTTCACAGAAAGTCATTATTCATTTATTGATTAAACTATTTCTAAATATTTTTAAAGTACAATAGTTTTAATTAGATATACCAGAAAATATAAAATTTGTAACAGAGCAATATAGCTCATGAAAACAAAGAAAAAAAGTTTCTGATAATTATGGAAAGAAGGCTGCACTTCATGTGCGCTGTATGAAATATTAATATAATACAGGTTTATCACCAGCATTCAGATTTGTTAAGTAAATGTTGAGCCATATTAAAAGTTGTGAAGAAACTTCATCATATAGTGTATAAATAAACTGAAGTGTGCTATTATTGAAGGTAATAGTGGCCACCAGCTTGCTTAGCTTTAAAAGGAATTAGACAAATTCATTTCCAATGGGCTACTCTTTCTGATACCTATATATTACCTCTGGTATCAGAGACAGAGTCGAAGAGAACCCTGGACAAGATAAGCTCTTAGTCTGATCTAGTATGGCTAGTTGTTACAAACGTTTGTCTCCTTTGCTAAATTACTGTACTCAGATCTTCAGGACAGTGTTGCCACTTGCAACCTGGATACAGAACAGAGACTATTGAATCATTTGTTAAAGAGGGGATAGGTAGCCACAGATCCTTGTTTCTGTTTCTTCCTGTCTTGTCCATCCTATTCCCTCACATGTGGCACATCAAGAATCTAGTAAGTTGCTGGAGGTGGGTGGATAATAAAACAAAGAATACAGTACAACAGGTGGTTTAAAATGGGATAAAATGGATTAAAAACAATTTAATAATAAAGTCATTTAAAATGAGACAAGAACACATACAGCAGCAAGCTAATTATAATTAAAATTAGTGCCACCTTCATAAACTGCCCTCCCGAGGAGGACTGGAACTGCTGCAAAACAGTGCACCCCATCCTACATCTAGCCCAGTGGTTCTTAACCTTGGGTTACGTAGGTGTTTGTGCACTGCAACTCCCAGAAGCCTTCACCACCAGCTGTTGCAGTTCAAAAACACCTGAGAAGCCCAAGGTTAAGAATCACTGATCTAGCCAGTTTTTGCAGAAGGATACCATCATCTCTGAAAACAGAAGCTGCTAATTTATTTAAAGTATTTGTACCCTGCCTCAGCAGAAAAACAAAGATATCTATCAGTACAGTTCTCCCCAAGGGACATCAGCCAAAGCGACTGAAGCATTTTCAATCCTGTAACTATTCTGGCAGTTGCAATGAAGTGAATATTGAAAATCCATATCGTCCTTACAAACTCGGAGTTACCACTGCATGCTGAAACACTATTGGAATCTATTGGAAACACTATTGGCCAGAAGTTATTTGACGCATGGAGATTCAGGGAGACCTCTTTTTTTTCAACAAAGGCCTTAACTTTGGCTCTTTTACTCCTTGTGCAACTACTCATCTGATCTATTTAGCTAGCAGACAGGTTTCTATAGTTTTAGGAGGACGGGTCAAGCATGTACGTGTTGGATCTCATTTCTTCAGGAATTCTGTTCTTGACACTTCATATTGAAAATATATATATTAGTACTGGACAAGCAGGTACCAACATTGAAATAAATTAAAACAAATGGACCACAGTATCCATGGAATCAGTAATCGCAGTTTCACTTTTCCAGTGCTGGAAAATATTAAGTGAAAATCCCCAGAAATACACATTTCTTATGTGTATTACGGAACTGGCCACTAGAGGAAACCAGATACAGTACTATGTTATATATAGAATTTCAGTACCCATGCTTTTCAGCATGGTGAGTGGCTCAGAACCAATCCCCTGTGGATATTGCAATCCTATTGTGTTAGCACTACTTAAGTGTAAACTAGGGGCTATTGAATAGTTCTCTCTCCTGTTTTCAGAAACACAGGCAAAATTGGGTGACTGCTGCATATAACACTTGATCAGATGGAATAGCAATAGTTTCCTATAACTCCTTTTATTTCCTGGGTCTTCCTAGCTGTTACACAGAGATCCCAAAGTGGGCAAAGCTGGGAGAAGCTGAGTGGGCTGTTTGTTTGTTTGTGTCTGTTTTACATTTACTGAACTGATCCTCAACAGCAGCACATCAATTCAGGGAGCTTGCCACCAAGGCAGGTCTGGTTCTTTTGGTTCAGAGGCAGTCTGAAGCTGAGACAGCCTTTCTACAGTTGGCCTTGTTTCTTCTACAGATAGTCTGCTCACCCATCTCTCACAGTCCATTAACAGTCAACCCCATTATATCTCATTTCTTCCACGTACCTTTTGAAAAGTATGTATCCCTACATCAAAACCTATGTAATAACAGACTCAGGTAAACAAAAAAAATATTAAGCCAATTTCATTAAAAGAAAAATCTCTCAAACTTGAACTTACCCATAGGATAAAACTTCATGGTTGTACTGTTATTCCCCCTGCCTTCAGAAACTCCTGAAGGAGCTTGTCACCAGTATAGGTGTACTCATTTTGGAGAGATCTGGTATCTCAAGTGGGCTGGAAATAAATACCCAACATCTAGTGAAAATTTGGTTGTAATTGGCAGGATTTTACTATTCCTTCCGGCCTTTCCAGTGATTTGTTTGTGCCCTTTTGCTCTTTCAGAAGTATTTCACTAACTGAAAGTTTGAATTTCCCTGCCTTCCCTGCATATTAGGTATGCTAATATCTGTGCACTGGAGGATTGTGGGAGGAACATCCAGCCCCTGATGGGGGTCCTGTGGGGCACCCCAAAACACTCTTGGCCTCTTTCGGGACTGGGGCTGTGCAGCCCTGTTCTGATCAGGAGGTGCAGCCGAGGGGTCACCATGCCTTTGGGGGACAGGGCACAGAAAGGGGTAGGTGGTTTAGGGGACATTCCAACTCATACCTGGCAGGGGAGGTACCATTGTTGTAAAAGTGGTTTTCCTGCAGTAAGGCTCATCTATTGCACTCTGGATGTGCTGACCCCTGTGATTTCCCCAAATGCGGGAAAATCAACTGCCAAAGTGGGGGACTATGTTTGTGGTTTCCCCTGTTCTTTCTAGAACTACTCTTTCCCCTTTGGTCCTTGGCTATTTTCACTGCCTGCTACCTTAGGCCTGTTAGCCTTGCTGGTTTTCCAGGGGGGGTGCAGGAAGCAGATCCTGGAAAGCCAGCAGTGCAGAATGGTGAGGTCCAAACAGCAAGCAGTCTCTGGTGCTAGTTCAGAGGCCTCCCAGCATGGCAGTAGGAGGGTTCTGGGTGGTGGTGGTTGAATCCCTTTTTTACTGTATTCGTTCCTTAAGACACACATACTTTCTCCCCCACTATTTGGGGGGGGGGAGTACGTCTTATGGAGCAAAAAATAAGGTATTAACCTTGAGAATTTGTACACATGGAAATAATATATGCGGAGCACATGTGAATTATAAGAGATAGATGCTGGGAAAGGGAAACAATTCTTAAATGTCAAGTTCTTTAGTTACATATTGCCCATCTCTGTTTTATAGATACTCCTCTTCATGTACATTTTAAAACATTGCTCAAAAAGAATGAGGTAAAAGGTGATCCTTTGGAAACTTCTGCTATTGATTCAGAGTGTACAATGTCTCCATCAACTGGTATGTAATGCATGGTACCTTCTATCATACATACTACTTTGATAGGTCAGCACATAGCTTTTATTTTGGAACATGATCTGTAACTGCTTATCTATAAACATTTGCTTAAAATGTGAAAGTGATAACTGTATTAGATCTAAAAAGAAACAGTAACAGACTTATATTTCATCGTAAACAGATATTTCATTTTTAGGACTGTCAGAGTTAAAGTTACCTGTATTGCAAAATGTGTGTTCAAGGAACATCTTGCTATTGTACATCTATATAATAGTAGTAATACTGATGATTACGATGTGAATGTCATTGCCATTTTACTTATTTCCAATGTGAGCTCTATAAAAATTTTTATCTTTCTACTGTAGTAGCTGTTAGGAATGTAGATATACAACAGAACTCCCATATCTGTGATATTGGTATCTGCAGTTTCAATTATTTGCGGTTTACCACAGCCTTATATACAGCATACAATCAGGGTGGGTTGTGGCCTTTTCTCCATTCCCTGGTGGCATTTGCCCTGCCTTCTTGTATGTCCACAGTTTCAGGCATTCATGATAGATTATGGAACAGATCCCCTGTGGATATGGGGATCCAACCAAGCTGTGTAAAAGTCCTATAATATCTATAACTATCGCTATTTAGAAGTAGTTCAGGTTGTTTGAGGTCTTGTGGATATGTATATTTAAGATTATGGTTTCAGTCACAGACAAATATATGAAATCCATACACTAATATCTTGGGCTAAATGTCTCTGACTTTGCATAGTTCGAATTTTCATTAAAGCGTATTTATTGTCCTTGCAAACAGGGAAATGACAATAGTAAAATAACATTTATTTTGTTGTAGAATATTGTTTGTATAGAGCTCCTGCTCAGCAGTGGAATTCTGGATATGAGTCCAGTTTGAAACATCAGATTGTGTCAAAATTGTCTGAGCAGCTGCCGGATGGAAGAAAGAAAAGGCACTTAAGTGAGACAGTGACTGGTATGTAAGGTTAAAAATGTGTTCTTACAAAAGATATTCACAGGACTAAAACTTGTTTGTTCTCATGGACTGGTAATATTCAGACTATAATACTTGAATAAAAAAAGCATTAAAAAAGCCTTCGAGAATACAAAAAAGCATTATTCCCTGCTCTAGTTAAGAATCTACATGCTCCTACACCTTCTCCTTTGCACTTGATCCTTTCCAGTGTTTAAAAGATGGTGAATGATTCCTGAAGTCCACATGTAAATTCCTTCTCAAGAAATAACTGTTATAGTGTCATCTACAACATCTGTTTTAAATCATAACAGTATTTGCAGTGTGTAGTTCAACTCCACACTTTTATTTCAGGCTTCTACACTGCACAGTAAATCACAGTTCAATCCCTCTCCTAAGCTTGAACAACAAACTATAAGGAGTTGTAATTCAAAAATGCAATTTGCATGTACTCATAATTTTCCTGTAGTAGAAGGAAGACATCCTCAAGATGTATGTTCTCCCTCGTGCACACTTCCATAAGCGGTAGTGGAATCAGGTGGCACTAAGGCTCCCTTAAGAGGAGAGACCAACCTTGGCTGAACCATTTTCAGTTTCTGCATCTGCTCTGCACAGGCTTACCCTCATCTTCAGCTTGCCTATTCTTTCTTCAGTGTTTCCTACACTTTTCATTATCTTTCTCAGCCATGAGCTGTACCTTCCGGATTCCCTTCACCAAACTCTGAATGTATCATATATGGGGAGGATGTTGGCTAGCCTAAACCTCTTGGTAGATGTGGAGTCATCACTAGATAATCAGCCTTTGGCTCCAGATACCTCTGTTAGGGCCAAGAGAGCAATGGAGAACAATGAAGACCTGAATAGCAGATCAGGAGAGACTGGAAACACCTCCAAAAGGCTCTCAAACAAACTGAGTATTTGGGGAACTGAGTATTGAGGTTCCTCTCTCTCCTTCCCTCATAGATGGTCAGGCACTTCACCCAGAATTTATTGGCTGGATAAAATGTCTTTATCTCTTGGGATTCAGAGGAAGGCCTTTCAGATGCACAGAGCAGGGAACTCCAAAGAATTACTCCCATCCCTCCCAAATCCCTTGTGAGGCTATCTCCTCCACATGCCCACCTGTGCCTCCTAGTTCCTACAGTTTCCAGGAACAGCATGACCATGGGCTGGATGGCCCTTTTGCGTTCCTCCTCTCAGATAGATGCTTTCAGCTGTATGGAAAGTGAAACTAATCTATATGGCCTAGACTCTAGCATGCACACTAGAGGAGGAGGAGGGCCTGGGAACAAGCTTGCTCCATTTCTCCAAAGCATTTGGAGGAGGATGCTGTCTCTCTTTCCCTCCTGCCTTTTCAGTGCAGAGGACTTTGGTCCTGGGTTCAAAAAACATTAAACACTTTAGTTTAATGACAGGAAGGAAGGAAGGAAGGAAG